TTCATTTAATTTCATTTAATTTTTGTTTAGTTTATTGATAAGCATATCGGCATATATAGCATATTTGGTGAAAGCGGCGAATATATCAGAAATATTAGGTAATATTTCATAAAAAAAACGCAACTTAGAAAGTCATATTCACTTTCGGGAGAATTCGCTTAACGTACGCGGCATTTACATACAATGGCGGTTTTGCCGTACTCTGTATACAGTATTTGAATGAAGAATACGACAAAGATAATAAAGGGTGGTTATTATATTAATATTCTATGCTTTTTAAATGTCGTACTGTACAATCTTTCTTTCTCAGATTCCCACAAAAATTGATATTTTTTCTCCATATGGTTTGCTTGCAAATCATCTTAACAGGACATACATTTGTACGGCATATAAAGAAGAAAAACAGAATCTTTTCGGTCTACGTTTTGCGTGACCTTGAAGGCTATAATTTACTAATTCAATTCATTCAATAAAGAGAATAAAATCATAGCATCACTAATAATATTTGACTCAACATAAAATCCATCTACCAATGCATATCGTTTTCTTCAACTTTAAATTTCAATTCTGGCAATATTGTATAATTAGTTTTCATTTGTCAAACGAAACAGCTGATCGCTTCAGAATTTCACAACTGTTGTGTCTTGTTTACAAAACAAAGACCTGCGCAGTTCTATTGTTTATTTTCGAGCTTTGCGACACAAACACACACGATGGCCAGCTTTACAGAGAGAAATTGAGAACTGTTCCTCTCTTCGCAATGTGAGTTAAAAATTTGGCTTCTAAAAAAGCCACCCTTTCAAACCAAATTAAAATATCGCTTAATACAGTCTTATTTGCAATTCAACAACGAAAACATCAATAAGGAAAGTTGAAAAAAAAAGGTTAAAATAAAGTGAAAAATCCAGCAAATGCTTTCAATAAAGACTTAATGAACATTTTACCACCAAGCCTTGCTCTGCTTTTCGATTCTTTAAAGGCCTTCCGACAAAGCCTATCGCTACACTATTAGAAGATTTTATATTTAATCTACAAAGCGAAATGTCTCTGGCTGCAGGCGTATTACTAAAGCATCAAACTCCTTTGCAGCAACTACTGGAAGATATTAATTTTCAGCGTAATAAAGAAATGAGACAATTGCTTAAAGATGGTAAGAGCAAGACGCTTTATTTACTTAAAAGGACTTTTATTTAAATATTTTTTGTAAGTCTTGAATATTTATAGGTGTATGTGTATATAATATTGTTTTATTGATTATTTCACACTTGCCAACATTCAACCACCCATTCCTTCTGTCAGACTGTAAATACATTCTTGTTTCTTTTGATAACCTCCCTCGAAGCATAACAATTCAATGATTTTATTATTCCCTTTATACAGCCCAGATATAGAAACTTTTTCTTTTTTCAAATATTGTAGAGTGCATGATCGACTTAAAAAGCAAAAAGGGTAGTCCGTTCAGTTTGCGAGCTTTGTTTGTCAATTCGCATCGTAATCAATATATGAATATTTTATTATGTAAACATTGTTTTTTGCTTGCAGACAGTGGTTTTGTTGTCCTACAAGGCACTACTTATTGGACGGATCTGTTTGTTAGACATTTTCTATTTCAATCTGAACCAGTGCATAGTATCGATTCAGATGATTTATTGTTTTTTGTTCGCAAGAAACATGTTAAGAGTTCTTCTCGCCATATGCCAAAATATGAGGTATGTTTAACTTACTTTCTTACATAAATCGTACAATGGTTACGTTTTTGCACACAGACTGAAGTGGATGTTTTTCGGAAAGATTCACGCAAGTTGCCAATAGGGGATCCCGATGTTGATTGGGAAGAAACTGTTTACCTCAATATGGTCATACATCAGTTTGATTATACGCTAACTTTGGCAATATGCACTCGTACCTCACCCAAGGAATTGCAAGTTTTACGTCGTCATTCTCAGCGCGTCTATGCGAGTCCAAGCAGACGAAAAATGGATACTAAAGGTGAAGGCGAAGAGATAACTTATCCGCACATTTGCTTTATGGTGGACAATTTTGATGAGGTGAAGCGAAAAAACGCAAAAACACAAAAGATCGATAAACAAATTTAGATACTTACAGGTTTTTAGTGACATTTTGGTGCGAGACGGCGAAATGGTTTGCGTAGAATTAGTCGCTAACGATAAAGACGGCGCTGTTCAGGGTGTCATTTTTTTGGGTTCCATACGTTATGATGCCTTAAAGAAAGTTTACGACGCTAGGGTTGGTTCTGTCTTAATTTCTCACGTGGAAATTTTAACATTATTTTTCATCCTATTCTAGCAATCTAGTTTAAGCACGAAAGTAGCACAGCGTATGTCTTTCGGTCTATTTAGCAGTGGCGCGGGCGTGCAGACACGCTGTGAATTTGTGCGTATGAAAGGCCCCCAAGGGAAGGGGCATGCCGAAATGGCCGTAACTAAACCCAAAGGATCAGGCGTAGAAACTCCCACCAGCGAGCCAGGGTATGTAAATGAAAATGTTCATATATTATATCGAAACGTAAATAAAAAGAATATTTATATTTTAGGTTTTGTGCCACTGACATGTGGGATGATTGGGAAGAGGATAATGGTGATTATTGCTCATACGGCCATCAACGTCGCCTTAGTGATCCTAGTGCTAATTTAAATAATTTTTCACGATACGCTTGGCGCACAAAAAGCGGTGGTGATGCGATCGGGGCTAGTGGTTCGGCGGGTGTCAAAGCACGCTCCGAAAACGAGGGGTTAGATTCACTAGCTAATGAAGTCTCCGAAATAGAAGCAGGCGATTTGAGAGACGGTAATTATAATATTCTTGTACTTTTTTTATTTTATTATTATTATTATACATATATATTATTTTACAAACTTTATGCAAATTATTTTCACATTTTACTTAAGTTAAATTTGTTTTTATTATTATTAGAAGCATTTTAAAGTCATTTTATCACAGTTGCGTTCCTTTTTTGATATATATATATATATATATATATAAAAAATAGTTGCATGAAATTATATAAGCATTTCTTACTTAGCAACATTTTTTTCTGCTTATGCTATTTTGTTTCTTTAATGTCTCCTTCTATGCTTAAATTTATTTCCGCGAATTGATCAGTATTAAAGAAAAATAAATCTAAAGATGCTAAAGTACCTATAACACTGAAAATAAGTTCTCTTGTCTAAAAAAAAAAAAAAAAAAAAAATTAAAAAAAAAAACATTTATTTTAAGTTGTTTAGATGACCGAGAAAGCAGGAATTCCTGAGAAATCTACACATAATTTTCATATTTCTTTTAAACATAAAACACTAATCTTCTTATTATTATAATTTTAGCTTTTCAAACCAATTTTTTTAGATGACTTTCGTAAACATGATTGCCTTTGACATTCCGTAGGTTGGCAAATGCCTAGAACTAGAATTTGGGACAGGTGTCGTTAGTATTTTTTTGCCAAGTTGAGTAAACTGTCGAAGCATACAATAGTGATTACTGAAATCGTTTATCACGACTACGATCCCTTCTAGCTCAAAAGGAGCTTCGAACGGAACGTCTGCATTTAGTTGTTCTATATGTTGTAATCATTTGATCAGAGGTCATTATTCGCTTAGGTCCCGGGTGTCGGATTATTTTGCCCTCTTTTACAATTTTTCATTGAAGACCGAAAGACTCACTTAAGTTTGAGATAAAGGTGCTTCATGAAGCCTAACTTGGGATAACACATAATCAAACGTTTCGCTCCTACTTCTATCACAGCATAGCCTCAAAATAAGAAAAAGTCACTGAGATCTCTCTACGATTTAAATATAACTGTGAATTATTGGCTGGAAATCCATCTCAGTGCGCTATCTCTTTTTTTTTTTTTTGTCAAACAACAACACGAAGATAGCAGTCATTCTGAAAATACAGTTTTTATATTTGATCTAAATATTTAAGGAACTGATGAAAATTGATGAATGATCAGCGCAAAATAAAGAGCTTCGCCAAAGGAATCCCCTACACGTTTTTATCGTTGCTATTCCACTATGTAAACTTTATAACAAATCAGTTCTGGACTAATTCGATTATGGTGTGGTCTAACCTTGAATTTCCGAAGACTTGAGGGAATAATCGACAATCCTACTTACTGTATACATATACACATGCAGAGGGAAATAATTGTCCGTTGAATGTTATTTATTTTACTTTATGACATGTAGTCGTTCACTTTTTAACACAGTCTTGGCCTCCGTTCCAAGTTCGATTGGATTTTGTTTCATTATCATTCACTTTAGATGTATTTTATTATGTTTTATACACTATTTCTTTGCTCTTTTGATTTCGCAATTAACTGAAATATGTTAAGCGCTCAATATCATCAAAAAGAGAGAAAAAAAAAAAAAGTAAATGATCTATATTTACTTGTAGATCTACGTCCTGCTTTCTCGGCATCAAAGGAACAACTCCATAATCACTCTAATTGGAAGAGTACGATCAGGTCTGAAAGTGAAAGTGAACATAACGCGAAAGAGACCACCGCTGTCGGTGTGGAAACAATCAAATACGAGACAGAAGATATGACAATTGAAGTAGTTGCAGACGCTTTAGAAGCCAATGTTGAAGTGACAAGCGTACCTAAAAATTCCGCAGTGACAACTAAAAAAACGGCAAATAAAACGACCGGCTGCGCTGGTAACTGCTTCAAAACGGGGAAAAAGTGCAAAAAACGCTGGGTTTTGAGTAGTGACATAAATACGCCAGAAATGTCAGAAATCTATTGCCCGACTTGCGATGATTTTGCTAATGAGACTCCAGCATGTCTTAATAAAATGCCAGATCCGAGAAATAAAGTTAAACCGAAGACTATTGCAAACCTTGAATCTGAATTAGTGATAAGCAAACGCGGCAGCTTAAGATTGAATGAAAGAAAGCCGTTTATAAAAGATCGCTTGATGCGCAGTTCTTCGTTAAGTGCAGCCGATAGAAAAAGAGGCAAGAAAAATGAGGCTTCACCCAATAAAAAGGAAAAACCTAAAATTAAGGATAAAGATAAAGATAAAATTAAAGAAAAGTTAAGTAAAGCGAATAGCTTGCTGGCCAAGGTTTCACCTAAACGCGTACGTGCCAATCGCAATCAAATTCCAGAAGATGCAGACAAAATTAAAAATAATAAGGAAATAAATTCCCATAATAATTCGAAAAATTCGAAAAGAGTATTAAGTCAAGACAAATCAGTTGCCAAACAAGTTTCGGAAAGTTTAGAAAATAATGAAGTAACTCCCTTGCAGGAATATGAAATAGCCGATGATGCCGTCTCGTTGAGCGGCATTGAACTAACACAAGTTGCGGAGAGCGAAGCCAAAATCGCAATTCTTACCGAAACCGATACAAAACTAATGATAGCCGTACGGGGTCAAGAGGAATTACCCGTAGTAGAAGAACCCGCCGAATCCTCTGCTTCTCAAACAGCAACGATAACTGAGGCTATTTCTACCAATCGTTTGTCAACATTTTCTCTAACCAATAGCCCATCATTATCGCAAAATGATAACCCGGTCCAAACAACTTGTGAATTTGCAAAGTGTGTTCGTGTAGCTGTTAAAAATGATGACAACCATCCTTTGCAACACTCACAATGTCCAAATGATCCTAATAGTGAAAATGATTTTGAAATTATTTCATCAACAGATGCTAAGGAATCTGTATATAAATTTAATCTTAAAATAGATGATAATGACAATTGTCATACATCACATACGCATCGTCTATCGCCAGTGTCACCGTCATCGACATCACCGGTAAAAATTAGCCAATTATCTACTGCTGAGGAAAAGCAAGGGATTTCATGCTCGTACTTGTCGACAACATTGCCGCGCACAAAGCGTTCAGATGCGATGCTGGCTCATTACAATCGCGTTATACATTTAGTACCGAAACGTCGCACGCCAGACGGTACAAACATCTATTATTGGTGTGATGTACCAAAACAAGCTCTAAAAGGTGACAAAGCTTTGTGTTCAGCATGCCATACGTTTCAATTACTTTCTAAAAATACATCATCGGACCGAATTTTATTTTTGTTGCTTCTTTTTTTTTTTTTTTTGTTCATTTTTACAGAACTTGATGATGGTGCTTACAATCCATTGTGGGCCAGCCGCGGCTTCGCACAATCCTTCCATTTCTGGAAAGAGAATAAGCGTCAACAATCGTCGCCGTTAAATGCTTTCCTTACGTATGTTACACTGCCATGGTGGAGCATAGCAAAAGGTAAGACAATAGTCGGATGCAATTATTAATTCACTAATATATTCTCCCGTTTGCAGATTTGTTGGATCATCGCGAAGCTCCTATCCTAACATTTTAGTTTTAAATGAAATAAGCAAAAATTAGATTTAGTATCTTTTGGGTCATCGAGTTCATTACAACTGTTTGGCGAAAGCAGTCGAAATCTCATTTTACCCCATTCTGATGTTCATGAAATCAACTTAAAAAACATTTTTAGCCTTGACTTGCACTGCTACATCAATTTCAACGATAAAGATATCTTTTTAAATCTTAATACGCATAAAGATGTAAGATCGTAAATAAGAAGATCGATCTGTAGACCAGATAAGTAGCTGAGATGCTTATTCTAAAAAAGTTTCTAAAAAAAAAAAAAAAAAAAAGCTGATAATAAGGAAATCTACTACTCACAGACTAATTCAAAATCAGCGTTACTGCAGCCTAATCTTCATATAATCTAATCATGCCCGAGTAAAATGCGGGGAATATCTATTCTTCTGAATCGATTTAAGCTATTTAAGTGACAAATTATTGAGAGTAGAAATATAATATACTTAAGTAAATTCATTTCAAGTCAGCATACATTTTGACAATACCTTGTATTTGTAATTTCTATCAAACCAAACAGATATGAGGATCCAATGTGCTGTTAAAGCGCGGACTAATTAGCTATCATTTCATGCAGCATATGAACAAGCAAAACTACTTTGGAAACTTAGTATGTAGTTAATAATAGTTTTCTAAAATGTCATAAAATCATTTAAAGCGTCTTAAAAAAAGTTTACATTATTTGAAAAGAGAAGAGAAACATTTGGCCAAAAAAAAATTCTATCAAACATCTCGAAAAAAAAAAATGCACGTAAAGATTTTATATGAACTTATATTTATCAATTTTATATTAGTTTATTGAAATACATATATACGGCTTTTGTAATTTGATACCGCTGATACCGCTAATTTAACCCCCTATAGGGTTGATTGCAAATCATTTCGTTATTAGAAATTTTTTATTGAAATTATTATAATTCAAGTTCACCCAAGTCGTCGCTTTCAAAAAAATTTATTTTTAAAACATTTCGTTGATATACATTTCATTACAAAAGAATTCGATATAACTCATTATGTGTAAATAATATATCCGCTGGACTTGTTAAATTCAGTGATAAATACTTTTTCTCTTTAAAATTTATTTTGGTACCAGCAGCGCATCTTGTTTCAATTCCTTACATACTTTTCGCAGGCTGATTAAAGTGTGGATTGTAGACATTTCTTCACTTTAGCTAATGATGGAATTTTCGATAATGATAATTAATTTAATGCTTAAAATATCGAATTACAATGCTATGAGGATATGTGTGAACCCTTTGGGCATTATTTCTCAAATCCTGAACAAATCGTATTAATTAAAGCTCCTAAGGATTCTATGGATGCTTTGTTGCATTCACGCGACTATTATTCTGGCATTAAGAGCTCAGACAACAGCCTCAGATAAAATGGTCAACTATCGTGATAATAACGGAATATTTATAATAACCAGGCCAATAACGTACGGATGACAAACGCGAATAATAACAATACTTGGAAAACCCAAAAATTTTCCCTAAGGTCACGTCAATAACTGATAAAGTTGACCGTGTTTATACACTACACCAACGCTACAATAAATCATTAGTAGACAAAGGTGCAGCCGTGATAAGATCAAATATGTGAGCATTGCACCCTTTTACTTAAGATTCAACAATTTCTTGATACCATGTGGTCCATGGTGATATCCCAATTCCTTGTAGATGTGATCATAGGCATTGATTTCATTAGAAGAGACAATTGCGTGTTGGAATTTGGTCAAGGTCATGACTACCTTGTTTTACGCCCAAAAATTTCACACAACGAATAGAAACACTTGTTGCAAACAACTGCAAGCACGACATAGTCTTATCACCGAGATCCAAAGTAATATGGGGACTAAAATTACGCTATTCTGGGCAAGACATTCTCATACCGAACCGAGAACCTCAACCAAGCAAGCAACTTTAACGAAGGTTGACAGAGCTTCAAGTCGCATTCTTAACACTAGGATCACAACAATTACATTAGAACAGCACATTGTAATAACTGAAGATATTACTGATCGTGAAGTAATCACAAATGACCGAAAACCAACAAAGAAAATCTGAAATATTATATATCTTAAAGAGGAATTTTCAGAACGTTTCAGTAAAACCTTAACCAATCTTTATTCTGAATACAATAAGATGCTTGGTCTAGTGTCAGAAACAATTACAATTGAGAATTTCTATGAGCGAAAGTTAAGGGTAAAGGATACACAATAACATAAAGAAAGAAGAAATTGGGAAACTTACAAAAAAGTAATAAATGACAAAGTACTTGAATCATCGCATGCAGAATGTAATAGTCCGATAAAAGAAAGAAAAAATATGGCGACCTTTCATAAATTCTGGGCAAACAGATACGAAATTAGTGGTCGATAAATTTCCTCTAGTATAGATAATATTTTGGATTAGCTTATAAGAGCTAAGCATTTCGCTTACTTAGATTTGATGGGCGGCTCTTATCAAACTGATTAAGAGAAAGCCTTCTGAGATTACCAATCATTCTTAATTCATAATGATTCATTTCGATTTACTAGACTTCGATATGGTTTCAAAGTAGGTCCAAATTCTTTTCAACGGATAATGACAATTGCTGTTCGTCGCTTAAAATCAAAATATCTACTCCTATACACGGGCAACTGAGTTGTTTTGGGCTGTTCATAGAAAAATATACTACACTTTCTAATTTAATAGACGTTTTTGAATTATGCTATAGACACAATCTCAGTTTACACCTTTTCTTGCGGGAGATAACATAACATAGCTCGATGTATCCCGACGATACTAAATACTGAGTGATTGAAAACTATCCTACACCGCGAGGCGCTAATAGTGCGAAGTGATTCATAGTAGATTTATAAAAAAAATTCACCAAGTGTTCTAGACATCTTACAAGAATTGTCTTTAGATAGGCAATACAATTCAAATAGAGGGAAGGTTGTGACATAATACTTAGATACTTGAAAAAAGCATTAGCGAGTCCAATATTTAGATTTCGGCAACGATTCTGCATAACGACAGACGCAACCAAACATGCTTGCGGAGCCACTCTAACTCAGAAGCATGAGGGAAAACATCTGCCTGTAGCCCATGCTTCAAACACATACACAAAAGATGAAAATAATAGATCAATAATTGCACAAGGAGTAACTGCAACAACACGATTTTTCAAATCACACTTGTACGGCAAGCATTTTCTTGCTCGCTCTTGCTTACTTATTTTCTATGAAAGATTCAAGCTCCATGTTCAGGAGAGCGAAAGACGGCCTAGAGGAATATGATGTTACTCTCGAGTACTTTAGGGGAAAGAACAATCATGTGATCGACGCCTAATCACGGGCTATGGTACAAGACCTTAAAAGTGTGGACGAGAAGACAAACTATGTCTAACAAGTCTCGACAAGATCAATGGCAGAGCAAAGGACCAGTACGACGAGGGATCATAAGCACCGTAAAACGATTGAATATGAAAATATAATCTATAAATATATATATATATATATATAATTGACTCTGAAGTCGGGAAATCTATACAACATATACATACAGCAAAGATTTCTTTACTATTGAGAAGCTTTACTTAGAAGAACTTTTACCAAAATTCAAAGGTATACAGATAACATTGGCAAATAACCAGTAGCATCTGGTGAGAGTATCTTCGAATTTGTCCCTATTAATGAATTTAAAGACCTGAGAGAGTATCTTCGAATTTGCCCCTATTAATGAATTTCAAGACATGGGCAGTAAAAAGTTGATTAGAATTAAAGAAGCGCTACTACAAAGCTACTACTAAAGCTATTCAAGAAATTGTGAGACGATACCACGATGACTCTATAGATAGATGGCCACTGCGGTGTCTAAAAATGTATTACTATTGGAAGAATATGACGAACACGTTCAAAAATACGTTGAGTCATGTCATGAGTGCCAAACATTGAAACGACTGATGCCAAGGCCGGTACTAGCATTCGGCATGTTATTTAATGATATCGTAGGACTATTTCCCAGATCGCTTGATGAAAACGAATACGCACTCACTATAATAGATGATTTAGCAAAATATCTCGTAAATATACCGATCCAGCAAAAGATCCTCAAAACATTCAGTAAAATTATATTTAATAAATTCTCGCCTACCTTTGGTCTATGGTACATGGGTACGGGATATAAAAATTCAATATTATCAGTATTATGCAATATCCTCGGAACCGAAAAACTAACTTCAAGAGCCTACAATCACCAGACACTTGGAACGATTGAAAAAGTCACAGAACTCTTAAGTCTTACATAGCAGTTGATATAAATGATTGGCATATATGGCTAAAGTGTTTTACTTATTACTTAACACTACTTAACGCTACATCTACATTACGTAATTGCTGTCTATAGGAATTTAATTCTGCAAAACTTCAAAACAACAATTTCCATCGAATCACTGAGGTATATAGGTTTACTCAGTTGTACAATAAAAATGACTATGCTAACGAAGCAAAATTTAGAGTAGAAGTAGCGCACAAGAGAACTCAACTATTAACGGATAGACATAAGTTAATGCAAAAGATTGCTTACGATACGAATACAGTGAATTATCGATTTAATATAGGTGACTTAGTTCTACTTAGAAGAATGAAGTAATTAACAAAAATGTATAAGACTTAAAGGAAATAGTGTTAGTATAATAAATAATGAAAGATATAAAGAGAAAGTAGTCCATAAAAATAGACTTAAGCTGTATAATAATGCAGCCGAATAAATGGACGTTCAATGACGCACTACTGATCTAATTTTAATTTAGTTTAAGAAAAGTAAAATGAAGGGAGAAATGATGTCATCATAAAACTATTGTCATGATGATCGGATTCTTCTGAAAAATGAAGATTGTATAGCATGACAGTACCTCAATATAATTTATAAACATTGAAAAAAATTTCTCAGCATAAGTGAGGCATTGTTAACAATTGTTGTTGGTGTTGATGTCCAATAGCTAATATGAATATATGCGAAATTGTGGTATCAGCATATACTTAGTATCAAAGAACATTCAAACTGGAAGAATATGCGGATAAATCTTATTGCCAGCGAATAAGAGCCGCTCCAAGTAATAAATAAAACGTTAAATAATGAAAGGGAGTTCCTTTTATTTAAACTGACGGTCATCTTATTACACAGCAAAGCGTCATACTATACACAATTGAAAATTCTTTCAAACTAAGTTTATATGTAAAGGGGTATACGTCATTAATCAATATTTTATCGATCATCAAGCACTAACATTAAGTTAAGTTACTTCTTATCAATAGTAATACTAAATATTTGAGTTTTGTAAGTTACTAAAATTTTTTTTCACCGCTACATCAATTACGGCAAAAATATATTAAGAGATTTATGGTTATCTTTAACGTCAGAAAAGATTAGAAACGGATCATCGAGGCAGAAGCATTTCCTGAATCGATTTAGGCTTATGAATCCATCGATCTAACGTCTACTCATACGATTTTCTATGTTCGAACGCCAAGAGACAAGTTCCAAGATGTTGCCCTATCTTCAATATGGATTGAATCGTCCCACTTTTTCGTAGAATAGCAGTTTTACGAAAAATATTTACAACTTTTACAATTTCTTGACGAAAAATTGGGGAAAAACATGGTTTTTTAAAAGTTTGATCGGAATAAGACCATTCTTTGAATTCTACCGTACGTAAATATCCGTAGTAGAGATTTAAGGTTTGGCTTTTTAATATTTAATGATAAAAGTTTTGGCATAGTTCTATTTTTCGAATCTCTTCCTATATAAGGGTTTTCATGGAAAATAACAATTCATTTGATATGGCAACATGGGCCAATTTTAAATGTTTTTTCTAGATTTAGACAAAGTGGGCTCACGTTCATGTAAGACTTCTCATGCGAAATAAGACTTTACATAGAAACAAAATATAACAAGGAAGAAGGTTATACTCGGCGGGAACGGTATCTCGCTTACTCACCACTATGTTTTTCGCATTCTACTCTTCAAGTTCTTTTACTTGGTACCCATATCGCTAGTATTATTATTAAGAAAAATGTAATCGCGATCATCTCAAAAAAGTGAAAAAAGCAAAATTTAATCACTTTAACTGTACTGTAACTGTAACTTTGTGTGGGCATGGCGAATGTTTCCCATTTTTGCACATAAGGAGTATAGTGCTGCGTAAAGTAGTAGTAAAAAATTTCAATCTTCTAACTTTTATAATTTTCGAGTAACGAGCAAAAACTCAAAAAAATTTTTGTTAAAAAAAACGAAGTTGCTTTCAGGCTATGCTCCATTCTGCGCTTGCGCTTCAACCGATTTCGCCTATTCTCAATACCATGGTGCCTGCAAAAGCTTTCAATGTTTTGTAACGAATTTGAAGTCGATATTTTCATTTTTGCAGACAGCCATGCCTAAATCAATTCAAAATTTCATCCTGATCAAGGATATAATATTCCTTATAGGGTCTCTGAAGCTTACTTTTGGGTGTTACATATATTTTGGGAAAAAACAAAATGGGTATACTGCCGTCATCTTACAGTGGTGGGTATAAAAGTACATGAAGAATTTTATTAGGCAAAGTGATGTAGGCCTTACACAATTATGACGCTCCAATTTGTTTCAGTCTTTGCTATCAATTGTACGCTTATTGATATTTGCCATCCCTCAATATCTATTGCTTTCATTTTTTAACTAATTTGTTATTTATTTATTTATTATCCTTTAATCTCAGGTCAGTAATTTTGTCCATTTGTTATTAACAACATATATATTATAAAAACTTATATATTATTTGAATATTTAATAATGAAACAATGAAAACAAAAATAAAAGAAACTTTTTGAGATAATGTAAAAAATCTTTTAAATTCTTTATCTTTTCTGAAATATAGCTGGAGCGGTTATTTGGATATGTTGATGCAAAGCTGCTTAAAGATTTCGAATTTTCAAAACTTTCGAAAAAATCCATTATGCTTAACGATAAATTCCCATTCAAAAAACATTTAAAACTTCGTGTTTCGTTGAAAAAAATACCAATTACCTTGACCCCAGAGTAATTTCGAAAGATACCCGTGTTCTTACACCGATTGGTTCAGAGTAGTTACGTGCTCTTACTTGTTTGCCTGCTTTTCCGTCTGTCTATCGTGCATTCATGCCCCATATAGGTCACAATTTTTTAGTTACTTTGACGAAATTGTACACACTTGTTGGTTTTGGTCCAAGGACAGCTGCTATTAAAAATTTATTAACCTCGATATACAAAATTGATGTAAAAAATTTGAATCGGATGGATCTATC